CCCCAAAACCCCAAAACCCCAAAACCCCAAAACCCCTTTCTAAATTTAAGTGATTGATTTTTAATTAAATAAACTAGGACAATTTCTGAGGGAACTCCGAAGTTCTGATCATGGCTAGCATTTCTGAACAACGAATGATAATGGGGTAAAATTGGAGAAACAAGTATGTCTGATAGCATGTCGAAAAATCCAACACTTAAGAGTTCTCTCTGATGTAGATGAAAGATATGATTGGATGATTTAGGCTCATCTTAAATCTTTCTTAGAGAGAATTAATAAAAATTAAAATGGAAATTGATAAAGAGCAGGTAATTTTAGATTAAGTCCAATGGATTTAAAGACTCATTATAGATTCAGTCAAATGAGGACAACTACAATTGCCCAGTGTGATTCACAGTGATGGCAGAGCCAGTTGCCACTCCGTGCGATCATCACTTCTGCTATATATGCATTGCTCAAACACTTGAAAGGAATAACTTTGCATGTCCCATGTGAAGAGAAGGGTTCGCAGAAGATTACATACCTGATATCGATAAGGACCTCCAGAAAGAAGTCAGTGAGAAAATGCCTGAGGAGTTCGCTCAAGTCACTCAGTTGCTTAAAGAGAACAATCTGTACAGAGGTAGCCTGAAAAGTATAAAGTTCTTCTTTGGAAACAGACATAAAGAAGTCCCTGAGGCAGGTTATGATGAAGTTGGTCATGAATGGATCTGTTTTGTTGAGTCTGCAGATCCTGAGGTTACTAACAAGTTTATCACAAAAATTGAGTTTAAGCTTCACCCCACATTTCATCCATCCAAAGTTGTGGTCAATAAGCTGCCTTTTCAGATCACAAGAATTGGATGGGGTGAGTTTGAAGTCAAGATTATCATTACATGGAGAGCCTGGATGAAGAAAAAGCAGACCAGGTACAACCACATGCTGAGCTTTGAAGGAGATGGTGAGAAAAAGGCTTTCATCGTTGATATCCCTATTGATAAGTATGAAAAGGCAATGACATAGTTAAAAATTTACTAAAATTCAACCAGGATTCGCCCCTAAGGGGTTTTGGGGTTTTGGGGTTTTGGGG